CGGCAGAGGGGACATCGGGGAGGAGGAAGAAGAGGGTGGGACCGTTGGAATCGAGGTGGGCCCGCATTTGGAGGAGGATGCGGACGAAGCTGAGGTCGGTGAAGGTGAGGACGGATTGGCGAGTGATGGCGGGGAGCGAGGAGAGCCATCGAAGGATGGAGGATCTAGGGTTAGGGTTACGGTTAAAACTTGGGGAGTGAGAGTGGAAGAGGGCGATGTGGGAGGTGAGGGAGTCGATTAGTTGCTGAGGGGATTCCATTTCTAGGGTTTGATTGTTTCAGGTTGGGAGTGGAGATTAGGGTTAGGGTTAGGGTTAGGGTTTGATTGAACGGAGAAAGGATCGATTGAGGTTGTGAATGAGAAGCGGGAAACACGCAGGAATTTGGTGGGCGAGGTAATTTGTTGGTGGTGGTTGATTCTGATTGGAAAATCAATGGAGTAATTTGTTCGGCAAACAAAGACGATGAAAAATGTTTGAAAACTGCTGTTGAACCGCGGTGCATAAAAAATGGTGGGTCTTTGGAGGTGGGTGTTCGGAGACTGACATGTGGGGTCCATGCTGTTTGACGAGTGTACACGTTTGACCCCACACGTCAGCGTAATCTTATAGGTAGCTCGCACTTTGTGTTGTTTTTGGTGTTTTCTCTTAAGGGCCGGTTTGTTTGCCTAAAAAAAATTGGAAATCAAAGAAATAGAAAACTATTAAATCAAAGAATTGTTTTGGGAGTGTTTGGTTTGCTAAAATAAGAAGGAAATCAAAGAAATGAAGATGAGTTGTCACCTTATTATTTTGGGAGTGTTTGGTTTGCTAAAATAAGAAGGAAATCAAAGAAATGAAGATGAGTTGTCACCTTATTATAGGATGATGTGAGTGATTTTTTAAGAAAACTTGTTTTGATGTTGTTTGGTTAGCGAAAAAAATAATGAAATAAATTATAATAAACCTATTTCTTGTAATAGGTTGTTTTCTTTTGCTTGGTTATTTCTTAAAAATAAGAAAATATATGAGATGAGATGAGTTGTCATTATATTATTGGATGATGTGACCTACACTTAAGGAAATTGTTTTCCTAACATCACTCAAAGAAATGAAATGTTAATGAGATGAGATGAGATGAGTTGTCACAATCTTATTGGATGATGTGAGTAATTTTTAAATATAAGATGAGATGAGTTGAGTGATGTGTGGATAAAAATAATATTTTATTAGATATGGTGGGTGTGATGGATGAGTTGTTGGATGAAAATAATATTTTATTAGATGTGATGGATGAGTTGTTGGATAAAAATAATATTTTATTAGATGTTGTGGGTGAGATTTAGGGTATGTTTGGTTATTTCCTAAAAACCAAGAAAAACCAAGAAATGGAAATGGAAAAGGTGAAAATCTCAAAAAGTACTATTTCCTCTATTTCCATCCCTAAAACTCACTCACAACATCCAATAAAATATTATTTTCATCTAACCACTCATCCATCACATCTAATAAAATATTATTTTCATCTAACCACTCATCCATCACATCTAATAAAATATTATTTTCATCTAACAACTCATCCATCACATCTAATAAAATATTATTTTCATCCAAACATCACTCAACTCATCTTTTTTCATCATTTCAAATCACTCACATCATCCAATAAAATATTATAACAATTCACCTCATCTCATTAACATTTTATTTCTTTGTTTTCATCCTAAAAAGTTGTGAAAACACTTTTCTTAATCTTGGATCACATCACCCAATAATACAATGACAACTCATCTCATCTCATTTCATTTCTTATTTTTAAGAATGAACCAAACCAAAAGAAAACAACAAACTACAGGAAATATGTTTCTTATAATTCATTTCCTTATTTTTTTCACCAACCAAACAACATCAAAACTAGTTTTCTTAAAAAATCACTCACATCATCCAATAATAATATGACAACTAACATCATTTCATCTCCATTTTTTTGATTTCCTTCTTTTTTTAGCCAACCAAACACTCCCAAACCAATTCTTCATTTTAATAGTTTTCCATTTCTTTGATTTCCCTCTTTTTTTTAGTAAAACAAACAGGCCCTTAGGGATGTAAATATGTGAAATTGTACTTTTTGAGTTTTCTTGGTTTGCATTTCTATTTTTTGGTTTTTTAGAAAATAACCAAACAGCCCCTAAAAACCACTTTATATTTAGGATCTATTTAAGAAAGTCATCTTATATCTCTAATTTAAACTTGTTTAAGTTGTTATGCGCTGAAAATTACCTAGCCTAATAAGAGCGGCCAAGTATCGATTCGCTGACAGACTCCCAAAGCATCTATAAAACACGACCCAAGTAATGAGTCGGCCGACCTGACTCGTGATTCAAATCCGAGTCAAAAAGCACAGCCGACTCGGGTCCTGTCAACATGCACGACTCCGAGATGAAATGTGTCCTCCACTCAGATCCAACACATTATGTCTCCAATAATCACTCGGCCTGACAAGCATTTCTTAAAAGTCACGCGACATTTAATGAATGTCATGTTAGCGCCCACAATCTATCGCCATTGGCATTTAATGTGGCATCAGTCATAATGACTGTGCGCGCCGGAGACTTCAAAGCTCATCGTACTTGGCATATATACCATAGTCTTTTCACTGTGCAAAGTTGACTCAACCAACCGATCACTAGCACGTGTAAAGTAGACCAGAAACGATACTGCATGTACTCGGCCGAAATAATCAACATGCTCCCTAAATCCCCTCTACAAATATAGATGATTTCCACTAGACCAAGGTGGGGATTCGACCCACAAGAAAGTCAACAAGATATACTATGTTTTTCTCTTCATATTAACTAGAAAAGGTCACTTATTTGAGCGTCAGAGGGCACGCCGGAGGAAACAACCTCCGGTGCTTCTAACCCCTGTTACGTGTGTAGCAAAGCATATGTTATGATCTACAGCGGATCAACCATCAGGGGAGATCAAAGGAACCAAAAATTGAGTTCATCACTCCTAAAAACACATCGAGTTTTGGGACGTACACAATACTTAAACCACCTATAAAGTAAAAATTTCTTCTAGTCAACCATTTAATCTCACTTTGTTGCTAATCTCCCCTTGAAATTACAAACAATAAACTTATTTAGTCTCACGTGGAAATCTTGCAGAGCATCAACAAGTGTGGATATGTGCTTTATACATGCAATTAAATGATGGGTGTTGTTGGAACTTTATTGATCACTTTTTAATAGCAAAGTGGAGTTGGTGGTTCATGGGAAGAAAAGCTAACTCTATATGGTTTAGATATAAATTGAAAATATAAGTGGATTTGCGAAAATTGATCTTAAATATAAGGCGGTATTTAGGAAAGAAAAAAAGTCTAATTTTTAAGATAATATCAATAATCGCAATTTCTGTAACGACCCTTTTGTTCAAATCACGCTGAACTCTGACGTTTATGATTTTAGTTTTCACGGAGCGAAAAATATAAATGTGAACGGTGACATTTTTTATCATTTTATGCATTTGTTTTTTTTAGAAAAATACTGATTTTGTGGTGTATGGGATGCATGCACAGC